ATAGGTCAAAACACACTCCCGTGATCAATTTGGCGGGCGAGGCACTGGATCCATCCACAGTGGGAGCACAAATTGGGATAAGCTGACAACCCACACCATACCTTCTTCCGTATAATTCAGACGAACGTTTAGGCCAAAATGGTTAGTGTTGACGCTATAACAACCTGTACTACTACAGTGCTCTGGTTCTCCAAGTACAACCAACTCTTTTGTCCGTAAGTTACCCGATACCAGAGCATCCTGTTATCGACTCCATAGATAAACGACACTAGTGTCGAACGGATCCATTGCCATGGGATAAAAATAGACATCAAACCCGACAGACTCCATGCTGAGGTCTTCCCGTAACAAGTGCCACACTTGACTAGTATCATCAGAGTTGTTGTTCTTGTTGTTCAGCTTCCAGAGTTTCAATGTTTGATGAAGTACTTGAACGAGGAAAACACATCCTCCTGAAGTAGTCAAGCATCTCCTAACGTCTTCGTTGTTCAGGACATTGACAGGGACTGGAGGGAGATGTATAACCCGGCACTGATCATCGGCTTCAGGGCCATAGAAGTCATGAGCTATAACTACTCCACGCTCAGTAGAGAACGGTCTCTTTTCCCACAGATAAAGCATCCCGTTGAGGTTCACCTGAGAGTAAACACCAGCGTTGTAAACAGGATGAGAGGTGACAATTTGCTTGAAAGTCCATTTCCCTGTCTCAGACGAATACACATACACTCTCCACACTTCTCTGTCTACATAATTTTTACTATAAAAAGTCGAAACCACTTTGAAGCTTGAAACGACGCCGTCCTCCTCCTCCACACGCGTTACCAAACCAGTGGCCTCGCATGGCTCTGGAGGCGGAGGGATTTCAACCCATTCTTGTAAAACTGGATTACCAACGAAGGGTGGCATCATGTTACCAGAGATCTGGATCCAAACTAATCCGTTGGAGGAAGCTAGATAGTAGCAGCGAGAATGATCAGGGAGATTCAGAGACCGTTGAAAATCCAAGACATAAGAATGTATTGATTTGGGAAGGTCCCATGTCTCACATCCACGGAAGCCTATAGGTTCTGTGATGCCCTGGCGATAGTCAGTTGGGAACATGAGTGACCAGGAGGAACACGAGCTTTGGTGCACGGAGACGAAGAGACGGCGGAAATAGGGCGATTCTATTAAAGATTTCCATGTTTTGCACACTGACTTGAATCTCGCGATGCTTCTCAACGTTAACCTCGCGAATATCTCCTCCAACATGACCTCGAGGACTGTTTGTAATTTGCTTATCTCCATCTCCATTGGTTTCCTCAAGGGATTATGGTTCCCTTCGCCATTTGCAGTCACATGCTCTTTGTTCATTTGCAAGTTTTTGTTTGTTTCTTTCTTTGGGGTTGGCACTTTTTAGCAAATGAAATCTCTCTTATATGACATGAATCTATATTAACATCTTTAATCTTTTAGTATATTTATGAACAGATAAAATCAATTCATATAAGTTAGACTAAACTAAATAATTTATCTTATAATTAAAATCTTGAAATAATAATAAAAAATTCTTCCAAAATGTTTTCTTAATATATTTTGACCAAAGAGATCTTAATATAATTTAATGTAAGTAATTCCAAAAATTAACTTATAGTGTATTAAAATCTACATGTAAACAATATCTCTCTCCAAAATATTTTACCCAATAATATTGAGCTAATCCATAAAGGCATAAAGCATATGTTATCTAAAATTAATTTATATAGAAACATATATAGTATTTCAAAAATATTAAAGTTTTCCTTTTTGTTGAAATGGAAATTTATTAACCAACAAAAATAAAATACTTACAAGGGATTCAGAAAATCAAGATTTTGCAAACTTTAGACATTTAAACAGAGCAACTTAATTAAATTAACTTACAAGGCTAAACAAAACTAAATAAATAGCTCATTGATGCATGCATGCATGCCAAGTTCTACAATTTAAGCGATAGAATCAGCGTGATTGCTCGCTCGCTACAAAACCTAATTCTCTCTTCCTCATAGCTTTTTCAGATTTAAGAAAGAGTAAATTCGTGTGACCTTTACCTCATACCTGTACTGTATTAATCAGATCTTTCAATCATGGCGCCGAATCTTGAGTGCCGGATGTACGAGGCCAAGTACCCGGAGGTGGATATGGCGGTGATGATCCAGGTCAAGAACATCGCAGACATTGGAGTCTATGTTTCACTGCTCGAGTACAACAACATCGAAGGCATTATCCCTTTTTCCGAGCTCTCTCGCCGTCGGATCAAAAGTGTGAGCAGTTTGGTCAAGGTCGGAAGAATCGAGCCGGTCATGGTTTTACGTGTGGAGAAAGATAAGGGATACATTGATCTGAGCAAGCGTAGAGTCAGCGAAGATGATATTAAAACTTGTGAAGAAAGGTATAGCAAGAGCAAGCTCGTCCATTCTATCATGCGCCATGTCGCAGAGACTTTGTCTATCGATTTGGAGGAGTTGTATGAGAACATTGGTTGGCCTTTGTACAAGAAACATGGTCATGCTTTTGAGGCCTTCAAGATCTTAGTGACTGATCCTGATTCTGTCTTGAGTTGCAAGATACCTGGAGAAGTGAAAGATGCACTGGTGAAGAACATTAGGAGGAGAATGACTCCACAGCCAATGAAAATCCGTGCTGATATCGAACTGAAATGTTTTGAGTTTGATGGTGTTGTTCACATTAACGAGGCCATGAAAAAGGCTGAAGCAGCTGGAAACGACGACTGTCCTGTTAAGGTTAAATTGGTTGCTCCACCACTCTATGTCCTTACTACTCAGACACTTGACAAGGACAAAGGGATTGAAATCCTAAACAAAGCCATAGAAGCTTGCGCTGAGACAATTGAGAGATACAAAGGCAAGCTCGTTGTTAAGGAAGGAGCTAGAGCTGTGAGTGAAGGAGATGATAAGATGCTGACAGAACACATGGCTAAGCTAGGACTTGGCAATGAAGAAATTAGCGGCGATGAAGAAAGCGGAGACGAAGAAGAGGAGCTTCAAAGGAAGTAGTAGAAAACCTCGGAGAGGATTTATTTTGTTGTGTGTTTTGAGACATGTTATGTTATTTTATCGATCCATTCATGAGTTTGTTGAAATTTATTATAAAGAAAAAAAAGGTTCTACAGTTTACAAAATTCTAAGCAGGACCTCAATAACCCCAAGCAGGGATCAAATCCAAATGAGACGAACACGAGAAATATCACGAATATTAAACATCGATCTTAAGCTAAGATATCAATGATGGACTTAAGAACTTATCCACAGAATGCAAACAGAAATGTAACAAATTAAACGAATACGCAAAAGTGTAAAGAACTAGACAAGTAAATGACAATGGAGACAATGGATAATGGTTTAAGTAATAGAAAATGTATGGTCTTTTGGTTGGTTAACAATCCTAAAATCATAAGCAAACTTACTTTCAAGGTAAAGACTACTTTCAACAGAAAAAGTAACTCAATTCCTTGAAGTTAATTATTTAGTAATCAAGCGGTTATGTTAAATTTTTCATTTACGACTACAAGGTTAACAAGCATTGTATGCAAGTACAACTATCCTACAAATGATCTCTATCCACTAAAAATGACAAGTTCAAATGAAAGATCTTCTAGACATTCTCATAAACACTTCTCGAAGATGAAATTAACAATCATGTTCTAGATCTTATCAAGCTAGCTTCAATATAGCATTGACAAGCCACAAATGATGAAAATCATTATAATAAAACATTACAACCAAACAGCCGGACCAACCAAATCTATTGATCCATTATCCAAAATAAATCTACTCACACAACAGTAGGTAAAAAAAATGTGAAAGTTAAAGAGAAGAATGCTAGACATGATAGAATATTAAGATAACGTGCAAGAAATCAAAAGAAATAAAGGCTAAACAAGATTCAAGAACCAAAAAAAACAAACACTTTCTTCATAAAGGACTTAGATCTAAAAACAAAAGAAACTGGTTGCTTTTTTTAAAAGAACAATGTCCAAAATATGGTTGTTTATTTATACAAAATAAATATGAGAATGTAGCGGATTAATCCAACATGGTTCGATCAAACCCGCCCGCAGAACATAAATGATAACCAGAAGAACATAAACAATTTTAAAAGGTTCCTCCTAGGCGAGGTACTGAATCCATCCATGGGAGCACAAAATGGGATACGTTTGCAACCCACAAGATACGACCTTCTATAAACGGACGAATGTCCAGGATGAAATTGGAAGTGTTGATGATGCTATAACAACCTTCACTACTAGAATACTCTGGTTCCTTCTGAAGAGTAATTTTGTGTGTCCGCAAGTTACCAAATACCATAGAATTGTGTTTTAGACTCCATAGATAAACGATGCCAGCGTCAAACGGATTCATTGCTACGGGATAACAAATGCCATCAAATCCGACAGACGCCATATTGATTTCTTCACGTAACAAGTGCCACACTTGACCCTCAGAGGCAGAGTTGTTGTTGTTGAGCCTCCAGACATTTAATCTTCGATGTAGTATGTCCATGTACATAACATGTCTTCTAGAAGTAGTCAAACATCTCCTAGCCTCTTTGTTATGAGGGAAAGGGAAAGGTATAACCCGACACTGAACATCGGCGTCAGGGCCATAGAAGTCATGACCTATTAGGGCTCCACGTTCACCAGTACCCCATCTCCTTTTCCGAAGATAAAGTACTCCGTCGAGATTCAAAGGAGATTTAAAATCAGCATCATCGTCAAATGGATGAGGGGAGAGAATTAGCTTCAAAGTCCAGTTCCTTGTCTCAGACGAATACACGTACACTCTCCATACGTTCGGTTTGGTATCTATTCTTTGACGAGTCTTAACCAATTTGAAGCTCGAAACAACGCCGTCATCCTCCACACGCGTTACCAAACCAGTGGCCTGACATGGCTCTGGAGGCGGAGGGATTTCAACCCATTGTCGTAAAACTGGATTACCAACGAAGGATTTATGATAGCAAGGTCTGTTCTTAGTGGAGGGAACATTGATCTGGATCCAGATTAATCCATTAGAAGAAGCAAGATATGTGAAGTCAGAAGTAGGGAGATTCAGATTCTGTTGAAAATCTAAGATATAAGAAGCCAGAGATTTGGGAGGCTCACGTCCATGAAACCCTATCACTTCCCTGATAGGAGGATGATCATTGTTTCTGATCGTGAGTGACCAGGAGGAAGGGGAGTTTCCATGCACGGAGACGAAGAGACGGCGGAAATACGGAGATTCTATCAAAGATTTCCATGTTTTGCACACTGACTTGAATTTCGCGATGCTTCTCGACGGTAACCTCGCGAGTATCTCCACCAACATGACCTCGAGGATTGTTTGTAATTTGCTTATCTCCATCTCCATCTCCATCTCCATTGGTATCGTCAAGGGGTTATGGTTCCCTTCGCCACTCTCACACATATTCTTGTTCATTTTGCACTTCTTTCTTTTTGTTTGGGGTTTATAGCACTTTTCATCAAATGATTAAAATCACTCTCTTATATAACAACAAAACGTGGAATATGTCTATATTATTATCTTTAATTTATGAGAAGATAAAACCAACTGATATAAATTACACTAGATTATGTATTTTATCTTATAATATAAATCTTTAATTAATGTTTCAAAATGTTTTAGACAATCATATTAAAACATATGTTATCTACCATTAATTTCTTCATATATATTGCCAAAAAAATCTTAATAATAAATTAAAGTAAATAATTACAAGATTGAAGAGTATAATAAAAATCTTAATAATAAATCTTTTGATTACTCATCGACCAATCATTACTAAACTTGACGGCAATTGAGTTTACCAATTTTTAGGTACTCCCAAACCATTGCAACAATCCTCATCTAATATCTGGAAACACTTCCTCTAATATCCCAACAATCAAAAGCATGGGCTCCTTTCTGAGACCAAGGGAGCTGATACCTGGAACTAGCATCACTAAGCGGGCGAAAATATTTAAGAAAATCGCAAATGGTAAAAACTCCCACAGCATTGTTACCAAAGATGAAGTGGAGGATGGTTTGGGAGAATGGTTCATTAACTAAGAAGGATGAGCCAAAGGATGCTATTAAATGCTTTATTACAGATGATAGCGACGGCAATGGTGTTCTATCTTGGAAATCGAAACATGTTTAAATTTAAATTTGTTTAAATTTAAATTTCTTGAACTCGAAATTAAGACATGCGACTTTCTCTTTTTGGGAGATAATATAAGGGAAATCATTAAAAGGCTTCCGAAGCAACCTATGGGAGCAACCATTGCTTGTTTTGAGCCGGAATTTTCTGACACTGTGGATGTAAGTTGAATACAAATTGTCATTAGTTTTCTTACTTGCAGGGATGACTCACAGTTTGACAGTTTCCACAGCGTGGAAGTGCTTTCCATTTGCCTGGAAGTGCAAATCCATCCACGGATTAACATAGTCTGAAAGTTTCTCAAGTTTTTTCTCAATATATAATATCTCAGCTTGAGGCGTAAGAAGTCTGAGCAGCCTGAAGAGCATGAGGTTTCGCCATTGGCTTTTTCTTTGTTTCAACCTCTGCACAAGTTTAACACAAATTCACAATTATATTTGTTTTTGAACTCCAACATATTCTCTTGGAAATTAACTTATAGAAATTTCTTAACATAACCAAAAACACCAACATAATATATAAGTTTGTTCTATTTGTTTAAAGAAAAATATCAGTTAAAATCAACAATAAAAATGATAGGGATAACAACCTTGTTTGAATCATTAAAATAGAAACAAGTTAGTTTATTTTACAATAAAAAAAAGAAACAAGTAAGTTTATAAAAAGTCTTGACCAAGTGATCACAATCCAACAATTGGTGGTAGTATTAGGATTATTTAAAATGAAATTAATAAAACGCTAGAAAGAAAATATTAATTCAAACTCTAATTCATCACATTTCTTAACTTGATTTAGCAATTTTACAAAAAAAGATATTACTCAAAATGGTTTATCTTTGACCAAGTGATTTAAATCGCAATTAATTGGTTCGCTTCGGTTCGGTTCGGTTTAGGTATGAATCGGGCGGGGTTTTTCTACTCGCCTTCCAATAATATCCAAAATCATTCCGGCGACCAAACTGATTTGATTTCTCTTCTCCGACGAAGGAGACTCTACAGTATGGATGATGGCGAATCATCGTCGACCAATAATTCGTCGCGTCCATGGGAATCCTACAACACCGTCTTCACCAACGCCAAAGCCGGTTTGTTTCCACTTTCCAGATACGGTTCTTTCAGTGTCCTCGGATTCAATTCCCAATTTGTTTCTTCTCGAGTAGATTTCACTCCGAAACTCCTGGAAAATCGATCTCTTTTGGTCTTTGAACATTCTTTCATCTGCTTTGGTTTTTAGATGAAGATTTCAAATTTTAGAAATTGCGGAATATTAAATTCTTCAAAATTTGCAACTTTACTTAGTGGATGATGTTCCAAGTAAATTTCTGAAACTCGTGAATGTGTTGATTCGTTAGGAATGGAGGGAGTTGATAAGGAGAAAGTCCAGAGGATTGTCTATGAAATGAGCAAAGGATCTAAATATTTTCAAAATGAGGAACGTAAGGAAGCTCTTATGAAACAAAAGATTGAGCATATGCGTGATAGGTGCGCGAAGCTCTCTTCCTCTGATTTAACTAATTATCAAAAGGTATGTCAATGTTGGTTGTGATATCTTTCATTTTTTTTTTTTTCCTTAGCCGTAAACTATATAATCTTTTACATTTTTGAAGGTGGTTGATAGAAGGATCTTAGAGCTTGAAGCTACACGCGACCTATCCAAAATCTGGCTGCATGTGGATATGGATGCTTTTTATGCTGCTGTTGAAACTTTGAGTAATCCTTCCCTCAAGGGCAAGCCAATGGCTGTTGGAGGCTTGTCCATGATCTCCACAGCTAATTATGAGGTATGATGTGGGTGTCAAATGTTGTAACTGGTACCCATTATGGTAACACCTTGTTGAAATTTCTACTATCTCTCT